CTCTTCTTCCTCCTCCTCCTCCTCCTCTTCCTCTTCCTCCGCCGGGGGCCCGATGTCCCGGTCCTCCTCGGTGCTCCCACCCCCGGGGACTGTGGCCAGGCCTGCCGCCTGCTCACTCTCCTCCTCCCTGAGGCCTTCCATGGGCCCTGCGTCTCCGACCACCTCGGCCACAGGCACCGTGTGGCTACCGTGAGGGCCGGAGTTGCCGCCCTCCGGGTTACCAGCTCCGGCCGCCTCGGCCTGCGCTCCCTCCTGGCTTACCGGGGCCTCCTGGTCCCCTTCGGTCGGGTGTCGGTCCCCTGTGGCAGACATGACACCGGTCAGTACCTCAACTGGGGTTGCGAGCAGGCTGAGGTGACCGCGGTGAAGACGGTGGCCACTGAGGTGGCTACGGCTGAGGGGAGGCAAGGGTTTGGCCGCTGAGGGAGTAAGAGTCTGTCTCCTTATTGAGGGAATAAGAGTCTGTCTCAGAGGACACCCTACGGTAGGAAGGGAAAGGAGCGAATCCCAGGAGCCTCCCACCAAGGCTGGCCTGAGAGGACTTAGACAAGAAGGCGGGAAAGATTCCAGTTGGCAGGCAACAGGGGGCGGGACCGGAAGCGTCAATGAGGGGCTCTCAGCGAGCTGTAAGCCCATTTGCCGAAAACTTCAGATTGACATGTTCTGTGTCCAATGAATGATCAAGGGCCTTTAGCTCTAGGACAACTCAGAATCCAGGGTGTTTTTTTTTTTTTTTTTGGGACCGGAGTCTTGATCAGTCAGCCAGGCTGGAGTGCAGTGCCACGATCTCGGCTCACTGCAATCCCCGCCTCCTGGGTTGCAGCGATTCTCCTGCCTCAGCCTCCTCAGAAGCTGGGACTACAGGCACAGGCTACCACGCCCGGCTAGTTTTTCTAGTTTTAGTAGAGACAGCGTTTCACCACATTGGCCAGGATGGTCTCGATCTCATGACCTTGTGATCCACCTGCCTTGGCCTCCCAAAGTGCTGGGGTTACAGGCCTGAGCCACCGTCCACGGCCGAACTCTACCTTTTCTTTGAGGCCTTAGTGTCCAGGGCTACCCTTTATGTCCGAAGAAGTCCTGGCCTTTAATTTTAGGATTATTAGCAACACTATAGTAGTCCAATGTGGAGGCACCCTGGAGTATGGGAACTGCAAGATGTTCACACAGTCCACTTATTTCCACCTAGTAATGGCTCATGCCAGTAGAGATAGTGTCATGAAACTGTTACCTAGTTCAGACCTTAGCAGTTGTGAAAACCTCCCAACATGAGACATAAGAGTTTCAATCATTTAAAGTAGTTAAAGCTACTTAGAAAAGAACGTGCAGAGTTGACATGGATGCAGTCATCACTGAATGCTGAGGTGGTAAATGACAGACACTGTCACGGTGTTTAATGAATCCTGCCAAATTCACTTCAAACCTCCAAATATTGAAACAAAAATAGATCCCTTTTTAAAAGGACCACTTTATCTCATACGATGTAAGCATAAAGTACACCAAACAGGCCTGGGCGCGGTGGCTCACGCCTGTAATCCAGCACTTTGGGAGCCCGAGGCAGGCAGATCACCTGAGGTCAGTAGTTTGAGACCAGCCTGACCAACATGGTAAAACCCTGTCTCTACTAAAATAACAAAAAATTAGCTGGATGTGGTGGTGTACGCCTGTAGTCCCAGCTACTCGGGAGGGTGAGGCAGGAGAATTGCTGGAACCCGGGAGGCGGAGGTTGCAGGGAACTGAGATGTTGCCACAGCACTCTAGCGTGGGTGACAGAGCGAGACTCAGTCTCAAAAAAAAAGATAAAGAAATAAAAACACCCAACGGACAGGCTTCCTAGGCTATTTCAAGCAATAACCCAGGACTTTTTGTTGATTTCAAGACCTACTTAATGAAGTTTCAAGTAGTAATTATTTCTGAACATTTTGGAGAAATCAACTGTTATTTTATATTCATTGTATGAATTTTTTGGGTCACATTACAACTACTCTTTTAAAAAAGTTGTAGGTAGCATATTTCATGTATTAAATTCAAGAATACTAATACCATTCAATCTTTTCAAGGCGAGTAGGTAGTTTTTGTAGCTTTCATCACCTCATCAAATTTCCGTGCTTCTGTTTTTCTCTAGTTTCACCTAAAAAAGGGGCATCGTGCTGTCATAAGTCATTGGTTTAAATCTGGAAGGCAATGTGGAAAATTTCTAATACAAAATACTTAGTATTAAAACAGCAAAACCTAGGCAGAATCCCAATGTGAGGTCTAGAGTTGGTTTTAATATTTGCTTCCTGATGTGAAGTTGCGAAAGTTACTTATTTCTATGCCTCAGTTTTATCATTTGTGAAATTAGGATAATGATTCTCTAGCTGCCTCCCAAGGTTAATCTGAGAATCAAATAAAATAATGGGATGAAAACCCTTTTCATACTGTAAAGTACTATACATGTATATGATTACATCAAAAATAATTTTTCACTGTTCTTAAATTATTGGAGTGAAGCTATCAGGTGTATTTGGCCCTCTGTATCCATGGATTCTGCATGTGTGGATTCAACTAACTGTGGATCAAAAATATTCAGAAATTGCATATGCACTGAACATATACAGACTTTCTTCATGTCATTATTCCCTAAACAATATAGTATTACAACTATTTAGATAGCATTTACATTGTATTAGGTATTACAAATAATCTAGAGATGATTTAAAGTATACATGATAATGTACATAGGTTATATGCAAATACTATGCCATTTTATATCTGGAACTTGGGCATCTGCAGATTTTGGTATCTGCAGGAGGTCTTGGAATAAGTTCCCCATGGGTAACTAGGGGTGACTGTAGTCTCTCAGGCCTTCAGAGAACCCTCTAATTTGGATTTAGAGGAATTAGTTTTTTCCTAGCTACATGGAGTTATATACTCCCCTGGCTAATACCCTGACTTCAGTCAAGATTTGAGTGAGATAGGTAGATGGAATGAGATGGGATTATATTTACAATATTAACTATTTGTTGAAAATATTTCCCAGATTGATTTTACCTTCTAAGTTGATTAATGTTTCCAAGTATTTAGTTTTTCATTTATGTGTTCCAAAAGTCTAACAATATTTTATTTTTAATGATTTTGACTTCATTGTAAATTTGTAAGTCTTCTTGTATGGAGAATTTTATTTTATATTTTCTTTTTGGGGATCTTCTTAATGTTTACCTTTAGCTCCTTAATGCATAGTGTGAGATTAAAGTCTCAGATGATTTTTATTTTGAACAGCTCACCTATACCACCACTTATTGAGTAACTCTTCCCCTGTATACTGATGTGTGGCCATGTACTCTTTAGCACTTTCTCTAAAGGTAGAAAAAATACAAGAGAAAAAACTTATTTTCCCTAAATCTCAGAGCTTGAAATGGTCTTTAGCTATTGAGTCCAAGTTTATTCTTTTTCAAGTGGAAAAATTAAGGCCTGGAGTAGTTAACTCGCTTTCCAAAGTCATACTACTCAATGGAGGAGCCAGGAGTAGAACCAACATCCTCTGACATTTAATCTGAAATTGAGACAGGCATGCTTATTGTACATACAGCTTCAGGGGTAATTTGACAGCACAAGGTTAATTACCCAAATAAATAAATGGTTATGAGTTGAGGGTCTCTGAAATTCAGGCAAGCCTGTCCTCCTGACTCTGAATCAATCAGCAAACATTTACTGAACATCTACATTAAATGCCTTGTGTAAGACCTTGCCGGGGACAGAGAAGCAGGTGCCACCACCTCTGGCCACAAGAATCTCACAGTCTATTTGGGAGAAAGGATTGTATACTGAGAATGGAGGTAAAAAAGCAGCACCTGACATTCAGAGCTGGCCTGGCACTCACAGCTAAGCCATCTTATTCTCCTACTGGATATAAACAATAGCATAGAACACCAACATCAGACAGGATCACTCTGTGTCCATGATAAATAGAGACAAAGCAAGGCTACTTTATAATTTCATTCAAGCAGAGAAAAATGAAGTCATGAAATACCAAACAAAATATTAAACTTAGCTTCTCTTGATTAAAATGAGTACCACTTCTTTACCAATTACAGCTTTATCCTGGCTCTAATATCCCCTCTCTATAAATAAGATTTATTGAAATACTAATCAGAACTGCACCGACTTTCCGATAGCATGTAATCTAGAGCAAATCCCCACTTTGTTCAAAACTTCCACATATTCTAAGCTTTGGATTTGGGGAAGGAAGTGATATTGCCTCTGGCAAGAAAATAGACATAGGGAATTTGATGGAAGTCTTGTGGTGAGGAAGGTGCCCAGTGGGGCACCCCTGTTCTTGCTGCAATGCTATCACCAGGACTGGCTCCACTCTTTCTTAGTGAAAACAAATACAGTCAGGTAGATGGTTTTTGTACACTTATAGTATTCCTACTTTTTTTCTTTTCCCTTCTTTCTGTCGATGTCCATCCATTTTTGCTTCACAACTTTCAGTAGGACCATTACTAGTCACTTTAGAGGAGCATGTTAACAAAAAACCAAAACCAAAAACCACAGAAGTGTCTTCCTAGGTCATGAAGAGCTGGGCTGTCCACTTGAAGCTGTAGGACAAATACTTCAGACCCTAGTCATTCAATCATCCGGTGAGCATATGTTGAGCACCTACTATAGGTCTGGAGTTATATCAAAGGCTGGGGACGCATTGGTGCTAAGGTCCATGGCTTGATCTATCTAGTTCATGGTCTAGAGGGGAAGACAAACATTTGGATGATGATGACACAAGGTGTCAAGAACTATAACAGGGATGAACACAAGGTACTATGGGATCTAAGGAGAGAGAACGATTAGCTAAAGTTGAGGGGATGGAGGGGAAAGTGGGTTGGTGCCTGGGAAGGTGCTCAAGAAGAGGTATTTCAGCTAAGTCCTGAAACTAGGAGTTCAACCAGCAATAAAGATTGGGGGGAAGTCATTGCAAGTAAAGGAAGCTGCATGGATAATGGCAGGGGTGTGTGCGTATTGGTCCAAGGCAATGAAATGGGTGGAGCATTGGGCAGAGTGGCAGATGGGCCTTTAAAGCAGATGGGGCAGGGGATGGATACCCCATTCTCCATGACGTGCTTATTTCACATTGCATATGTGTACCAAAGCATCTCATGTATCCCATAAATAAATACACCTACTATGTACCTAAAAAATTAAGAATAAAAGAAATAGAAAAATAAAGCAGATGGGGCAATTAATAATGAATGCTTCTCTAAAGAGTTTGCCCTTTGGCCTGAAAGGGCCGGGCTGTCCACTAGAAGCTGCAGGGCAAATACTCCAGAATCTAGTAATTGAATCATTCACTGAGTTTGCCCTTTGTCCTGGAACCCCTTTGCCTGCTTTCTCTTTGTATAGAAGACATTTCCAGAAGTATTACTGCAAGTTTTCACCCTCATTTTTATGTTCTTAGTTATTTTCATAGGTCTTCCTCCCAGGTTGTCCAATGGCTGCCTCCTTGGCATTCAGGTTTTAGTCAAAGGGCTCTCATGGGGTTTATCCCTGACCACCTTGACTAAAGCTGTCACCTACCTCCACCCCAA